GCATTGGTTTCTGAACACCAAAAATATATTTATCAGTATGTGGAATTTATGACCAGAGTGGGAGGGGCCAGGGGGTGCGTCAGAAAGAGGAACAGAGATAGCATGCTATGTTTGTATTCTTTCATTGCAGACCATGTAAGCAGATGGGAAAAAAATGACAGATGTGTACCTGGGGTAGAATAGAAAACAGGAACGTAGTGATAGAGACTGAGATGCTTAGCACTAATTACAGTTCTTCACTTCTCTTTTTGAAGTTTTCATTTATCTTAATGAGAGAGCTTGGGAACTTAATTCTGAACATTAAAGAAAAAAGAATGAGGCAGGTAGCTGTGAAATGTAAGGTACATTCAATACTTTGTTGAAGTTCAAGGGGATTAAGTTAGCTACCACTCTGCCTAGAACATAGATTTTTTTTTTTTTAGAAAGCAGATATTGAAAGTTTCAAGTAAAAAAAAGATAGCTATTGTTACTGGACAATTCTGGAAAACATATTGGCGCAAGAAGTCTATACTGCCATTAAAAATGTAATTCAGAACCTCTAACCCAAATGCTCTTTCCTGGAGTTATAGAGGGTGAGGCAGACAGAACTGCTGTGGAGACAGTATTCCACTGAATCTGTTTTCTAAATATGATTCAGAAAGTTACAACTTGCTTCAAGAAAGCTGAAGATGCCTGTGAATGAAGGTTTTGAGAAATGCTATAGAATAAAAAAAAAAAAAACTTCTGTTGTTTGAAATGAGGAAGTACCTAGCTGTTTTGTAGGGCCCAGCCTAGTAGTGTAAAAGGCTTCTGGGGACTCTTATTTTATACTCTGTTCATGACGCTGACCTTCAGCTAAAAGAGACTTTCATAAGATGTGTGAAGGCGCAGAGGACACAAATGCACTGGCATGAAAGTCCTGAGAGAGTGCAGTGTAGGATTGCAGAGTTGTGTAGTGGCCTAGGAGCTTTGAGAACTACTGTGACAAAGAATGTACACGTACGTAGGTTAGTGCTAACCCTTGATGGGCCCACCACTGAAAGAGGAAGTGTCTCTAGTCTCCGGCATGAACAGACTGTGGTCATGCCCTGGTATTCCGACCCCCGTGGACAGAGTTCTGAATGCTAGGTCAAGAAAATGAAATAGATTTTCAGTCATTCACATGGGTAGCAGATAAGGGTTTGTTGTTGTTTCTTTTGGTTTTAGTTTTAGTAGTAGAAAAAAGGGGAATTGGGCCAGGCTTGGTGATACATGCCTTTGATTCAAGCACGCAAGAGGCAGACACAAGCAGATCTCTGAGTTCCAGGCTAGCTTGGTCTATATAGTGAATGACTAGCCAGGACTATGTAGTGAGCTCTTGTTTCCAAGAACAAAGAAGAGGATGAGTTTGTCATTAGTATAAGTAGAAGGAATATTATTTGAATGACTGTAGAAACTCAGAAAGGGTACCCCAAAGTATGGGCCTTTGGTATGCTAAGGGGACCTTATCCTGTCCTCTTGAATCCAGCCTCTGAGTTCTTCTTGCTTCTGGCCCCCATCTCCCTTGAAATGAATCCTAAAGCCAGAACTCTTCTTCCTCATTTCTGTGCTTAGAAACTAAGGGGTCTCTTCTCCCTAAAAACCAGCCATAAAAATCAGGGTCTGGAGAGATTGCTCCATGATTAAGAGCACTGGCTGCTCTTGCAGAGGATCTGGGTTCAGTTCCCAGCACCCACATGGCAGATAGCAACCATCCTTAACTCCAGTTCCAGAGGATCCTCTTCTGACCTCCATAGAGACTACACGACACAGGTGCACTCACGTACCTGCAGGCAATACACTCATACACATAAAATAAAAATAATAAAATAGTTTAAAAAACCAGCATAAAAACAAGAAAGGTCACTTTCTCTTGAAGACCTTCTCTTCGGAGGGTCCTGTCCATACTCAGGAGGAAGGATTGTGATTGGGGGAGGCCAAGAAGAATCTGAATAGAGGGAGGATATTGGTTTCTACTTTGGTCTGTTACCCTTTTGTCCAGTCATGTTTCTACACAGATGTCTATTTTGTTCATTTTTCATGGCACCTAAGCATAGAAGGGAGACGGTTTTCCCTGGATCTTTGGTATGTCCAAAGACTCCTCTGTCACATAAAACTTTGATTAAATAAATTTGTCATACTTTTTTCTTATACCTGTCTTGGTTTTATAGGAGGCTTGGGTGTGACTCTTCTGAGGGACAAGGACAGGGTTTTCTCTGTTTCTACACCCGACAATTCTCTTTGGACTTCGCTGTCTAATGTTTTGGGAGTGGGGAGGCATTTCTAGTGGCATTGTCACAGGAATCTTACTTTGTATGTCCACCTGTTTTCTTGATTTCTTCCTTATTTCAGAATCTAAAAGAAGCTAGTTTTTAAAAAGTAGCCAGTTTGTTGGGGTCTGGAGAGATGTCTCAGTGGTGAAGAACACTGGTTGTTCCTGTGGAAGACCTGGGTTCAAGTTCCGGCACCCACATGGCAGCTAACAACTGTTGGTAACTCCAGTTCCAGGGGATCCGACAGCTTTTTCTGTCCTCACGGGCATTTCATGACATGAGTGCACTTACCTACATGCAGGCAATACATGCATACACATGAAAAAAAAAAAGTGGCCAGTTTGTTTAGACCAGCTTTCTAGTCGGGGTGGCTACAGACTGACTTAATCTGAGGATTCTTTGGAGTACTGAGGATATGGATGACCTCAGGGTATGATGGGACACTTGAGCTTTCCTGTGTCCCTCCTGGCCACATCACTCAGGTGCCAAAACACATTCTCCGCTGAACTTGTGTCAGACTTACATCTGTCACCTAGATACAGGACTGACTAGTAAAAGCTTATAGATGCACTGTGAGTACCAGAATGGGAATAATTGCTGAGTCAATCCCCATGCAAGGCTATTGCTAAGGGCTATCTGGAGTGGAATTTTATGTTGTTGGTCAAGTGTCATGCATATAAATATACTTTGAATTTCAGGTGACATGTGTCTAGGATATCTGCTTAGTAAAATTGACTTGCTAAGTGAGGAAATGGATCTAAAGAATGATCTAGGGCTGGAGAGATGGCTCAGCAGTTAAAAAAAAAGCACTGGCTGCCCTTGCAGAAGACCTGGGTTCAATTCCCAGCACCCACATGGTGGCTAACACCCATCTGTAACTCCAGTTCCAGGGGAATTTGATGCCCTCTTCTGACCTCCGCAGGCATTGCACGAGATGGGTGCGCTTACATGCATGCAGACAATACACTCATACACATAAAAACTAAATACTTTTCTTTTAAAAAAGAAATAAATGTCTAGATCCAGCCTTGGAGTTTGCTCATGCTACCTCCCGATATCTACAGTGGCCTCCTTCACTTCAGAGAATCCTTGCTAAGATCCTCACTTTTACCTCAGACCTACCTGAGACTCCATTGGAGAGCAGAGGAGAAAGAAAGAACTGCACAGCTGCAGCCTTCACTAGGGTTTCTAGGCCTTGAGATAGATACAAGGTAAAAGTCAGGGGGATGACTTGTGAGTAATTCCCCAATTAATACCTTCCTGTAAGTTACCCAACACATCAAAGGAATGTCCACCTCCTAAATCTTGTGATTATACTGAAATTCAGATGAACTCTTGAGCAGTTCATGTTGTGCTCTGGCAAGTGTAGCTTATGACTAATTTTTTTTTTTTTTTGGTCTTTTTGAGACAGGGTCTCCCTGTAGCCCCAGCTGTACTGAAACTCACTATGTAGACCAGGCTGGCCTCGAACTCACAGAGATCCGCCTGCCTCTGCCTCCCAAGTGCTGGGATTAAAGGCGTGCACCACCACACCCGGCTATGACTAATTTTTTTAATATACTGGAGATTAAACTCAATTTATGACTAATTCTTGTTCACAGATATTAAAATGGAGGACAAGTCAATAATAGATGGTAAAGCTGGTTCCTTATAATTATTAATTTTATGAGTCAGACATTCTTCTTTGTTTTGACCTTTTTTTCTGTTTCCTGCATGGTCTCTAGTCTTTGGCATGTATTCTTATGCCTGTTTTGATGTTGTTCTTTCTTGTTAGAAGCTGTTGATCATGGACTGCCCATTCTATTTAAGTGTCTTCTTGATAGCTGATATGGGCATTTCTGGATTTGGGAAGTCCTGTGACTTGCACTGATTTTCTCCTGTGTGGCGTCATCTCTAGAAACATCTGAATTCTTGTTTCTGACTGCTGCTAATTCTCCTGTCTGCTTTCTGTCTCTCATGGATATTGGTTCACATCTCTTCCTTGCTTTGAATCTCTCCAGTTTGCTGTAGTCTTCTGGTTTTACCATTTAAAAAAATACTTTTTACTTCTTAGTGTTTTTCCAGAAGGAAGCCAAATAAGCAATATTATGTGTGATCCTCCCTATTTAATCCTCAGCACAACAGCTTCAAGATCCGTCTCAGGTGTGACACTTTCTCCGAAGGCTTTTCCTCATGATTTTGGATGTTGTCATTATTCCTTGACCCTTGCTCTAAAGCAAACAATATGCTTATTTTTACTTCTTTGCCATATATTTATTTCTGTGGCAATACAACTGAATTGTTATTTTTTATTTTTTTATTGAATTTTTGTGATTTTCATATAATTTGTTGGTATTTAGGTTCCTTCCCTCCCACCCTTCCTCTTACTGCCCCCCATCCAATTTAATGTTCTCTATTACATATGTAATACGGCCTGTAGAGTCTGATTTGTGTCCCCTAAATTATTTTATTTATTTATTTATTTATTTATTTATTTATTTACTTATTTATCTTTGTGGGGGGGGTGCATGTGTGCCATGGTACATGTGTGGAAGTCTGAGGACACCTCTCAGGAATCAGTTCTCTCCTTCCACCATGGGTTCCAGGGATCAAACCCAGGTCATCAGCATGTGCTTCTCAAGTGCTTCTTAGATTCCTGATTGGGTGTATGGGATCAGACTTTCAAGAGACAATGCTTCCTTGTGCTTCCTGAAAGTAAAAGAATGTTGTCCTCCCCTCTTCCATGTCTAGGTTCTCCTTGCTGCTGCTTAACCTGGAGGAGTACTACTTTGAGCAGCACACAGCTTATCATGTTCAGCACAGGGGCAGCCACGAGGAAAGGTAAGCCCTGGAGGTCTATGTACTGACAGACCTCTGTGACGTCTGATGTGTTTAAAATAATTGCAGGGTCACATAGAGTTTTCTCTCTTCTTTCTTTTTAGGTAACTGACAAGATGAGGGCCATAACGTCAATGTTTTTTCCATAAGTGAAGGTTCTAGTTCCTCTGAGGTTGCTGAGCAGGACTCCCTGTCTCATCGTGTTGTCCTGGCATCCCTGTTGTCATTGCAGTGTATCTTGTTCTTTGTCACTGGGATGATGGCACAGTAGAGTAATGATTGTAAAGCACAGAGCAGTTAAAAAAAAGTCAGTATTTGCAAAATGAAGAATGCAATTTGAATAAATAAATAAATAAATAAATAATGCAATCTGAACCGGAAGCAAAATCTGATTTCTCCATAAGTACTAATTAATTGCTATAAAACCAAATTCTTTTCTTTGATTTGAATTTTTGAAAGCTATATATCAAAGCATACGATGAATTTTTTGTTTTCCTTGTACAAATTGTACTCCAGTGTCACAAAATTGCTGGTGAATATAAAGTGGACAAATTCTAGCTAATAACTACAGATAGAATGGTAAAATTTCAAACTCTAAAGAACTAATGCATCTATGCTAAGAGTCAACAAACTACAGCCCTTGGGCCAAATCTCAGTGATACTTGGTTTTATTTATATGCAACTTTTATACAATAGCCACAACCATCGGTTTATATGTGGGCAGTGTGTGATCTCCCCTGTAACAGTTGTGACAGAGACTGTATTATCTACAAAGATACCTCTGTCTGGCTCTTTGTAGAAACCATTTGTCATAATTACATATGGTATATCATAATTTCAATGGCAGCTAAAACCATTAGATAAGAAGCTGCTGAGAACTATACAGTGTATGTCAGGATTAATACCACCTTAAGCCCCAGATCTGCTGATGTGAAGGCATTATGTGTTTCCCTCTGAAGTGCTGATAGACGAGCTAACCAGAATCTGATCTTTCAATCTTATGGATAATTTAAAGGACGTACATGGGTAAGGGAATACCACCTAGATTCAATAAGCAAAATTGGTTTGGCTTGAATTCGTGATTCGTGGCTTCTATCCCAGTACTACAAAAGGCAACAGGCTGGGCCTGATGGGACCACACCCTTAACCTTAGCACTCTGGAAGCAAAGGCAGGCAGGCCTCTGTGAGTTTGAGGCCAACCTGGTCTACATAGTAAGTTCCAGGCCAGCCCAGCTACATAGTGAGATTCTGTCACCCCCCCAACCCCCCAAAAATGATGTAGGAAAATTATTTTAATTTAATAGGTGTGAGGAGTACAGCAGTCAAATGTGATGGTAGACTGGATTTTGATTTGAACAAACACTATGAAAATACATTTATGAAATGGAAATTTTTGAACATTATATAGTTGATGATATTAAGGAATTATTCATTTTTAGTTGTGATAGTATTAGATCCTTTATTAAGGGAATGCTTCTTTAGAGATTGATACTACAGTATTCATGGGAAAAGTGTCTGAGCTAAGAATTCTATGTATAGACCAGCAAGGCTCTGAGGGGCTTACACAAGAAACAAGAATGAACACATAAAAATTACTAAAGCTAGGTGATTGGTATGTGGGCATTTTCTATTCTACATCTTTGTGTTTATAAAAATCATGTGTTTTGAAACTTAAGTGATAGGTAAGCTCTGGCATTGCATGACACAGGTGCACTTACCTACATGTAGGCAATACATACATATACATAAAATAAAAAATAATAAAAATATTTAAAAAATAAATGCACACATGGTGCTGGAGAGATGGCTCAGCAGTTAAGAACATTGGCCCTTCTTGCAAAGGACCTGGGTTTGGTTCCACACCCACATGGTGACTAACTCCAGCGCCCTCTTCTGACCTCTGTGGACACTGCACACCGGCACATTTACATACATGTAGGCAATACATGGTGGCTAGCATCTGTCCAGAACTCCAGTTCCAGGAGATCCAAAGCTCTCTTCTGACCTTGGTAGGCATTATATGATGCAGGTGCATTTATATATAGGCAGGCATGACATTCAAACACATAACATAAAATTTAAAAAATTTAATATAGTATTTGCATATAACTATCACACATCATCTTTTTACTTTAAATCATCTGTAATTAGACACAGTGACTACACATCATTTCATTTCCATATACTCAGCATAGTGTTTGGTATGCAGCAAATTCAATTTTTGCCTTTGGAACTTTCTAGAATTAATTTTTTAAAAATCTGAGTTGACTGAATTTAGGGAAACAGAACCTTGGATATGCAGATCCAGCTGCAATTGCCTCATTTAAAGCAAGACAACCAGGGAACCTTGGGATGGACAAAGAGAGAGCATTCACCAGGACACCAGCCAAGAGCTGGAGAAATACCCACATGGCATGAAAGTGTTTGTAAAGAATATGAGGGCTCAGTGGTTAACGTGCTTGCCATTCAAGTATGGGGCTTAGAGCTAGAACCCATGTGAAATTCTGGATGGGGTGGTGCTTCCTGCAGGTCTGTCCTCTGGATGGGGTGGTGCTACCTGCAGTTCTGTCCTCTGGATGGGGTGGTGCTGCCTGCAGGTCTGTCCTCTGGATAGGGTGGTACTGCCTGCAGCCGTAGTCCTGGAAGCCGGAGAGAAGGGATCCCCAGAGGAAGCTGGCTAGTGAAACTGGTTTTGTTGAGAGACCCTGACTCAGTGAACAAGGTGGAAGAGCAATGGAGGGTGATTCCTGACATCAGCCTTAGACCTGCGCATGCACATGCACAGTCATGACGCACTCCTCCTCACACAGCTCTGTCCACACATGCAAACATACACACAAGCATACGTATAACACATACACATGAAAAATGAGAAAAAAGAATGTGAGATCTTTAAATCTCTACTTTTATATAAAATGCACTTTTGGCAACTGATCTTTTTTTGTTGTTGTTGTTTTTGAGACAGGGTCTCCCTGTAGCCCCAGCTGGCCCAGAACTCACTATGTAGACCAGGCTGGCCTTGAACTCACAGAGATCTGCCTGCCTTTGCCTCCTGAGTGCTGGGATTAAAGGCGTGCTGATTTTTAATGGTAATTTTTCATAGTTAGGTCCAGTATTCCCTAACCTATGTTTGACTTCATAATAAGCTATTGTCTTGATTTAATCACTAATAAAAATCAATTTGATAAGAGAAAATAGAGGTGATGGATACTGGCCAAAATTAACAATAGCCTCGAAGACATTCAAGCATGTTCCTTCCAAAATTTATTAAAGTCATATAGATATCCTGAGAAATGAAGAAAGTAATAAAGTCCACATCTGATTTATTTCATCCTGTAGTAATAGTCACAGTCTTTAAAATTGCTAATTAGCATGAAATAGATACCCCAAAATCTTTGGTAAAAGCATTTTATGTGCAAAATTCAACCTTAATTTTTCTATGATTTTAAAAAAGAAAAAAATTCTTTTGGTTAACTAATTTTAGCTGCCTAATGTTGTCTTTTCCAAATTCAGAGAATTAAACCCCAACAGAATTGACTGGAGATATAGATTCAGCATGCATCAGTGTTTCTGGTTCTTCATTTCTCTGGAGGGTCATTTTGAAGACCAAAAAGAGTAGCAACAGATGGACTTATGGGGCAGTCCTCAACTAAACCAATTTCAATATGTGCAGGTTTCTCTAATCTCTGAGAGTGGAGATAAGAAAAGATTGCTTGGGGTTGACTGTTCTTGCAGAAGACCTGGGTTCAAATCCCAGCACCCACGTGGCAGCTAACAACTATCTGTAACTCCAGTTCCAGGGGATCAGACAGCCTCTTCTGTCCTCCGCAGGCATTGCACAACATGGGTGCACTTACATGCAGGCAATACACACATACACATAAAATAAATTAAATATTTTTTTTTAAAGATTGCAGTGTTTTCTCCTGTTGTACCCTTTTTTCTGTGTTGCTAAACTTTTATTAGCTGATACCTTAGTAACCTACTTTCTAACTAATTCTTTGTGATTGTCACTATGCTCCTCAAATAATCTCTTCTGTTGTGGTTCCAGGAAAATCAGAGGCTCCTTAAAAATATGTTCAAAATCAGTGATTTTTGAACCAGAAGCAGTATCTCAACCCATCCTTAAGGTAAACACATTTTATACATGAACAGAAATATCGTGTGTGTGTGTGTGTGCATGTGTGTGTGTACTTTATCTTTGCTTATTTTTAAAATGTTTTCTCAATTTTATCCAGATTCCTTTGAGAGACTGTATAAAAATAGGAAAACATGGAGAAAATGGAGCCGGTAGACACTTGGCAAAGTATGTCATTTTCACTAACTGCTTAATTTTACTTCAACCTAAAGTTTTATTTATCTGATGACTTTTATCTGCATTTTAGGGCAAAATCTTGGGGCATTTCACTCATTTTTAGTCAGGTAAGAAGACCCAATAAAAATCCCTATTAAAAATGTTTAGTATATATTTTCCAAACTTGTATGAACATTTCTATGCATGATATATGTAAATTTTTTTTTTTTTTTGCACAAAGAACTTATTTACTTATAGAAAACTCAACTAAAGACCCTTGGAGTAAATAGTAAATGCTTTTCAAATGTAGTCATTGCAAAATGAACTTTTTAAAAGACGTGATTCTCCAATGGGACCCTTCATGTTTACTAAGTATACATCTTATGTGACTGTGCCTTTGTCTCAGGAGCTCAGTATGGGAAAGTTGGAATGAAGGTGTCGAACTTATTTACTTATAGAAAACTCAACTAAAGACCCTTGGAGTAAATAGTAAATGCTTTTCAAATGTAGTCATTGCAAAATGAACTTTTTAAAAGACGTGATTCTCCAATGGGACCCTTCATGTTTACTAAGTATACATCTTATGTGACTGTGCCTTTGTCTCAGGAGCTCAGTATGGGAAAGTTGGAATGAAGGTGTCTCAGGTCCTCCTGTGGCCTCCTGCTGTTCCAAGCTGGGAGGCCAGTGCAAGGCCTGAGATGTGATCTCAAGCTTATTGGAGACAGACCAGCACTGACTCAGGGTGGATGGTAGCTTCTTCTATCAGTGTGACCCTGAGCCATTGTGTTTTGTTCATTCAAATATATGCTATATTCATTTATGTACCTACTGTTGTGCTCAATATAGTACAGCTACCACAATACTAATTAAAACATAGTTTTCCTGCTATTGTATAATTAATTTATAGACTTAAAATTTATTTTATGTAAAAACAGATAGCAGTCTTCTATTCTCTTTTGACTATGGTTTTCACCTTCTTTATCTGTAAAAAGATGTGTTAGCTGTGTTGCCTTGAGTCTCTTTCGAGTTCTAGTTCTGTACTTTGTTGAAGCGTTCAGAGAAACATCATTGTGTGATCAAATGAGTGTAGGAAAAGCTGTGGGAAACAAAGATACCCAGATGACTGCACTTCAGAACTTGACCTAAAGCTTTACCAGTGACAGTATGGAGCATCACAAGGTGGCAAATGGGGATGAGGCAAGGGTGGCCCTCACTGTCTTATTTTATGAAATCTAAGAGATTTGAGATTAAGTAATTTTCTGAAACTGTCTCTTATGGTTCCATTAGTTTTAGATTATTTTTTAAATTTTTATTTATTTTTATTTTATGTGTATGTTTTGTCTGTGTGCATATAAGTGCATCCATGCATACAATGCCTGTTCAAGTCAGAAGAGGGCATCAGATCCCCTGTAACTGAGGGTTAGCTACATGGGTGCTAGGAACTGAACCTGGGTTCTCTACAAGAGCAGCCAGTACTCTTAACTGCTGAGCTATCTCTTCAGCCCCTTAGATTATAATTTTTTTAATTGTGTAGGGTATATGTGTGTATCTATGTGTGGGTTTGTGTATGTGAGTAGTGCTCACAGAGGCCAGAAGAGGACATTGGATCCCCTAGAACTGGAGTTACAGGCTGTTGTAAGTCACCTGACATGGGTGCTAGAACCTGAACTTGGGTTCTCTGCAAGAACAATGCAGCTCCTAACTGCTGAACAATCTCTCTAGCCACGATTCCTTTAATTTTAAAGAAGAAAAGATTTTATGAGCTGGCTTCAGCTTTATTTGTTTAATGATGTAAGTGGAAATAGGTACAGTCATCTAGTGCTTTGTGGAATGAGCACCATTAATAAAAATTTTGGTCCTGTGTTCCTATGTCCATATTTCTTACCACTTCATGACCTTAGGCTGGGGCATCCTTATCTTGGAAGGAAAAAGATACCTTTTCACTTAAAAGTAGCTGTTCTTTTGTAAAAGTACCCATTTAAGCCAAGTTTTGGCTTCATTTTGGTCTTAGAAATAAAACTCCAAAGTCCTCCCAATTGCTTTTAATAGTTTGTAGCAGAGATCTCAAACCAACTCCAAATCCAGGAGTGTCTGGACACAAGCTACTCTTGCAAAGTATTTTTTAATATTATTTATTATTTTTATTTTATCTGTATGAGTGTATTGCCTGCATGTATGTGAGTGCACCTGTGTCATGCAGTGCCGTGGAGGTCAGAAGAGGGCTTTGGATTCCCTTGGAACTGGAGTTAATGATGGTTCATAGCTGCCATATGGGTTCTGGGAGTCGAATCTAGGTCCTCTGCAAGAGCAGTCAGTGCTCTTAACAGCTGAGCCATCTCTCCAACCCTTCAAAGTATTATTTTAAGCTCTTCATATAAAGGACTTGGATAGGCAGTGTTTTTGGTTTTTGTTTGTTCGTTTGAGTGCTCACTACTCGCCAGATCTTAGAAGCAGGATTTAGTACTCAGACTTAAAGAGTTTTTATTTTTGACTTTTGTTATTGTGGTTATTGCTGCTATTCCAAAAATGTGCTTATGTGTACATATGTGTAAAGAATAGTTTTAATTCACATGTTCAATAAATATTGCATGCATGGCCCCAGAAATGTCAGGATAACCAAAGCCTTTCCATGAATTTTGCTTTGTAATGGTAAAAATAAATAAATAAATAAATAAATAAATAAATAAATAAATAAATCTCAGTGGTAAATGTTATGAAGACATGAAAGCAGGACAACAGGGGGCATTATAAAGAATAATACTGTATTACTGTCTGCTTTAGACAGACTGGTCAGGAAACACTCACTGAGGAGCCACATGACCAGTGCCACAAGTGAGAAAGGCAATGATTAGGAATGGTAGCATATGGGAATTCTGTAAAGTCAGGAGAAAAGGTTCAGAGACTGCCAGGGATAAGCCCTGAGGTGGGTGAGGCACTGAAGGATGGCCCACCTTGAATGTGGGAGTCGGGGAGAGAGCAAATTCTCACAAGGAGGCTGTATCAGGGGCAGGAACATTGTTATGGGTGGCCTCTGGGCCATAGTAAGATTTTAGAGTAAAGGGTAAAAAAGAAAAACCACATCATACTTGGAAGCAGACCTGATTCCTATGCTTGAAATCCTGGCATCTCAGTGGACAGCGAGCTGTATAGGGCAAGAATGGAGCCAGGGACACTTGAGATGTTCAGAAGTGGTGACAGCTAGTCATTTTCTGGATATGCTCTGAAGAATAGCCTGGTAGATGGCCTAATGATTTAGCTGCAATGCATAAATAACAATCTAGAGAGACTTTCAACTAAGATAGTGATGACATTTATTGAAATGAAAAGGTGGGGGCAAGCACGCTTGATGAGAATGAAAGTATGAGCTGTCTTTTGACCTCCCGAGATGCAGAGCAGATGCTGAGATGCACTTGTCTGGGTTTCAGAGAGGAGGCTGAAGCTAGACAGGTAAATGGGAGAGTTGGAGTTTCTGGCGAGTTTTTTAGCTCTGGGGCTGGACAAGATTTGCTAGGGATTAAGTAGTATGGACAGAGAATCTGAAGACCAAGACCCTGTAGTCCTTTAACATGAAGAAGAAGGAGCAGGAGTGCCGTGGAGCCATGTGGACAGTACTTCTGCCCCACCGTCTGCTCTGCCACAGATTCTGAGAAAGGCAGCTGAGGAAGGCTTGAGAACTGACCATCGGATTAGTGACTTGCGGGTTCTGGACACCTTATGTGACCATCAGAGGAGAGGGTTCAATAGTTTAGTCTGCTGAAAACCTGTTACGGGTCCTAAAGAAGTCACAAAAGAGTTTTGCCACAGAGAACAGAATTGGCTAAAGGAGGGTGCTGCTGCCTGTAGTGTCTGTGAACCGGCAGAGGGTGCAGAGTAACATCCTGGGGCACCTGTAGTGGATACTCAACGGACACATTCCTTAATATTACTGAATGTATCTCATACCCCCATGCCTTTGCTTTACCCACTTCTTAGGAAATTGGCCCTTAGATGTGCTTCCTTCCCTGGTGCAATTGGTTACTTGACACAAATGATAACAGTCACAAAACAGCCTAGTGTTTACTTATCCAGTAATTGTTGCCACCTGGTCCCTTGAGGATTTGCTTTTTAATATAATATTTGTTATTCAAATACTAGCACTTTAAATACTATTATAAATACAAGAAATTTTGCAAATACAGATTATGTAACAATGATTTAAACCATTGAACTCATAATATTTTATAGTTACTCTTTACAGTGATAAATTCTGGTTGTTACTTCAGTATTGACTTGTCTTTCCCAGGTATATTTTATTAAAGAACACAATATCGTTGCACCATATAAGATAGAAAGGGTAAGTAAAATTTTTATATGTATCCCTAGAAATTTATACAGTGATTTGGAACAATAAGATTTTTCTGATTCTGTTAAAATCTTTAATCAAATGTGGTAATATTGAACTTACCAATTATAACAGAATTACCCAAGGGAGCCACAGACTTTAGCCCAAATGAATTGAATTAGCTTTTTAACTTAAAAAACAAAAATTACCTAATAGGAACAGCTTAAATGATCTAGGTGTAAGGGGGCAGAGACTGAGATTAGAGAGATTATTATAAGGAATTTATTATAAAGACTCATGAGATTCTAGAGACTGATTAGCCCCTGAAGAGCCAAAAGTGTAAGCTGAGCATGAGTCTGAAGGCAGGATAAGGCCCATATCCCCGAAGGAAGACAGTCACAGAAGAGGGATTTCTTTTTTCTACCTACTCTTATTCTCTTTGGGCCTTGACATATTCTGTGAGACTCATTCCCACCAGGGAGGTCAGTCTGCTAGTGAAGTCTGAGTACAGTCTAGCTAACTCTAGTTAATTTCATTCAAATATAGCCTCATAGATGACCCAGAAACAAGATTTAATGAAATATTTTGACATCATGTAGCCCAATCAAGCTGCCATGTAAGATTACCATCACATAATATATGTACCCGTCCTCAGAGCACCAGAACATACGAAGCAAACATTGAGAGGACTGAGGGAGAGCTAGACACCAGCACAGTGGCAGTAGCAGACCCCAACAGTGAGTAAAATGTAGCCAGGAAGCACACTGTAGACCAAATGGACCTCATGGATACGGCCCAAAACTTCCCATCCACCAGCTGCAGAAGGCACACTGCCGAGCAGGTAGGGCCCCAAGCAAGCCTCAACAGAGCGAAGACTGAAGTCACTGACCACAGCAAAGTCAAAGTAGAACTGGAAGAGGCAGAGGTGGCAGCTGCATAGCATGTTCTCAGTCAATAGACCGAAGAAGAAGCCCAGAAGCCCAGAGAACACCGAAGGCAGTGTAAGACGAATGGAAGCAAGGACAGCGTGCCACAGCATTTGGGAGAAAATGCAGTACTGGGAGGATGTTTGTAAAGATCAGTGGACGCATTAAAAAAGGAAGAGAGACCTCAAAATAAAACTCCTAATTTGACCCCTCAAAGAACTAGAACAGAAAACATTGACTAAGCCCTAGTGAGTAGAATGCAGAGAGTGACAAAGACACTCAGGGACCCGCAGGTCACTCCCTGGAGCTGTCATTCTGGAGGACCCTAGGCAGAAACCCAGAAGTAGCAGGTGCTGTGCAGATGATCGTAAGGCAACAGGCTTGACAGGCTGCTGCTTCTCTCTGCAGGGCAAAATGGAATATGTCTTTGAACTGGATGTTTCAGGGAAGGTAGAGGATGTTGTGGAGACATTGCTGCAGGTAAGTCAGTGACTTCTGTGCCAGAAACCCTGGTATTAGTTTTTGTTTTGTTTTGTTTTGATAAAGGGGCTCACGTGTGTTAAGCTGGTCTCAAACTTTCTATGTAGCCAATGCTCATTTTGATTTGCTGTTCCTTCTGCCCTGCCCCACCCCATTATTACCCCAAGTGCTGGGACTACAAGTATACACCACTGCATCTTTAAGTCTTTATATTTCAAATTACTGAAGTTGTCACTTTTCTAAATATGTTGTAGATTTACTCAAATATATTGTATTTGAAAAGTATAGGAAAAGCCATAAGCGAATCAGACGTAATCTAGACTGTTACTAAGTAACAGAGTAATCAATATTTTTCCATTGCTTCTAAAGAAGTACTTGATATTATCTGCAAGGAAAACTAATTGTGTGTTTATGACATTGTAGCTGCACAGAGCATCCTGTCTTGACAAGCTAGGTGACCAAACCGCCATGGTGAGTGTTCCTAACAATTGCTGTCTTTGATTGTGAATTAACTTCTGTTGATATCTCACTTATAAATACCCACATCCACACTTTTTAAATGGTTCCCTTTCCATAGATAACAGCTATCCTGCAGTCACGTTTGGCTAGGACATCCTTTGACAAAAATAGGTAAGTTTTTCAAGATTTTGTTTTCTAATTAGAAGTACACTGGACAATTCCATTTGTAGGCCTCTTCCAGCATGCTCAAACCTGCTGTGGGGCTGGGATGGTTCAGTAAGACAGCACTTGCCTCGTATGTGTGAGATCTAAGGTTCTGTCCCCAGCACCATGCAGAGAAAACAGATGCAAAATTGCTATTGCCGTGTCATCCTACCCTAAGCCTGCTTGTCTTGGGGAATGATCCAGCCTGAGAATGAGAAGCCCTGGGGCTTCCTCCACTCTTCAGTCTGACTTCTGCCACTCAGAAAGCCTGTGCGTTGCTACTTCTACTCTCTCCAGCCTGCCCACTTGTCTTCCACGTTGTTATCCCACCAGTGCAGGCCACCATCGTGTCCCACCCAACGCTCTAGAGCAACCCTTACTCCATCTTCCCAATGCTTTGCTCTTCCATTCCTCCTCACCTCTGACCCTAATGTCCTGTAAATTATGCCCTTTCTGAAGAACATATTCAATCATTATCAGTTGGCTGCTGAATGTTACAATGTACAAGATGCCCTGCTGGCTTCAGAGTGAGGGTGGGCCCAGCTTCTTTGCTGGTAGTGCGTGCTCTCTGTCACCACTCTGAATGGGTTTTTGCTTTCTTGAATTCTAGGCTCTGTCTGCTGCAGAAGGGACAGCTCCTCCTAAGCCACATGCTGTCTGCCTTCAGAGCCTTTGTTGTGTTCGTGTTCTCCCCCCGGCCCCCGGTCTCCTGTAGCCCCAACTGGCCTAGAACTCACTATGTAGACCAGTAGACCAGGATGGCCTTGAAGTCAGAAATCTGCCTGCCTCTGCCTTCCCCCAGTGCTGGGATTAAGGCCTGTGCCACCACATGGGCTTGTCCTGTTCCTTTGTTCCTCCTGCTCTCTGCCTCTGAGCCTTTATCATGCTGGCTTTTTCCTTCTGGGAACAACATATACCTGCCTCTCTTTGGCTTATGACTAGCTTTTCTGATTTTAGCTTAGCTGTCTGTTCTTTAAGACGCTCTTTCTTTGATCCTTCAAATTGCATTAAATACTTTCCTATCATTTCCCATAGGGACCAAGAGAGTACACTCAGTGTTCTAATGGTTTTCCCATTGATTTTCTTGGCTTTATGAAGTATACAATATATTTTCTGAAAATTATAATGCTTTTTTATTATCGTATTTTCTTATTCTTGCTGTATATTAAGTAGATTTGGTATATTTGCCTATATTTTCATCTCATGTGCCCCTGTGTTATTTACTGTATCTTCATGGTAACAATTGCTACATGGTAGTGCAGAGCCCCACATCTCATCTTCATGCTTGGACTTACATGTTTGCTGTTCTTGGTCCTGCTTCTGTATAAATGCAGAGCTACCTTGTCTGTTTCCATGAAAAGGAAGCCTGCTGCCTTTCATGTGTGACTGCAGTGACAGTAGTCTTCTCTCCATTTATTTAGATCTTCTTTAAAATCTTCTTTATGCTTTTCTTCATAAAGATGTTTCCTGTTTTGTGTTAGATTTATTCCAGATACTTCCTATGTTGTTATAAATACCTCATTATTAAAATGTTATTGTGCTTCCTGTTGGTATAGAGACTGCGGTGGATCTTTGTGTGCTCATGTTGCTTCCATCCACCATGCCTAGCGGGGTGATCAATTCCATTTATATTTAGAGTCTCTGTATGTACAAAACCTTATCCATGCATTATTTTCAGTGTCTGCTCACTAATATTTTTATTTTCAATTTTTCTATTTGTAATGATTCATGATTAGAACAAAACAGAAAGTATTGGCTGCGTAGATTAATTTATGGATTATAGTGTGCTAGAGGTGCCTGTATTTATAATTGACTTGTAATACTGTTTTATTGTTATCTGTGTGATTTGGGGGTCAGAATTGTTACGACTTTTGACCTACACCTTGGGCTTTTGAAGAACTTGCCAGTAAAGCTGTGTGACTGTTTGCTGAGGGAAGAGTGGTTTCCATTTTAGGAAGGAAATGAATAATGATAGAATTGCCTTTCCCTGGCTACTCAGTCTTTTCTAAGAAGTGTTGCGACTGCAGTTCTGAGCAGAGCATGGCATTCGTGTCAAAAGAGTTCATCTTGACAGTTTTAATGGCTTGTCCAGAACTAGAAGTGCTAGACTGAAGAATACAGAAGAGAGTTTTTGCAGAATGAAATAGTCCAGAATTGTGTACTTTCTCTGAAAAAATCAAAGTAAACTGGCCTAGATAAGCTTCTGTCATATTTTGAGGAAATACCTCTTATTGAAGAAATATGACTATATTTTACCCTGCTTTTTATTTTGAAGTTTTCAATTTTTCATAAGTTGAAAGAGCAATACAATGAGCTCATATATCCTATGACTGACCAGGTGTGTGTTTATTACTATTTTTGCAATTTGCTTTGGATCTGGCCATGCTCATGAGTTTATTCATATGATTGCCCTGTTCTGTGGGTGCATTTTATGTATGTTTATGTAGGTGTGGATAAACAGCTGGCTCTCTGTATCAGAGAGTTGAAAATATTTGAAAAAAAGCCTTCTGAATATATGTGCAGGCCATTTTCTTGTCGTTAATCCCTCAGTAGTGCAGTAAAGCAACTATCTAGGTAACAGTTAGACTGCGTTCGGTATTGTAAATAATCTGTGCAGGAAGGGAGTAGTCACTCATATACAGATGCTTTGTCTTTTTGTATAAGGAATGTAAGCAACTGCAGATTTGGGTGCATATATGTATGCATGTTTTGGTATGGGTATCTCTATATAATATGTACATGTATGTTTGAATGTTTGGATATAATTTTTTGAATTATTTGAAACTAAGTTGCAGGACATCTTGATTCTGCCCTATAAGTGCATAGGCATGTATTTGTTAAAGGGATGATCTCATATTCATTTATATGATTTTATCATATTCTGTTAGCCACAGTATCTTCTAATACATAGCTCCATATTTACATTTCACTCATAAAGCCAATGTAAAAAAGCATTTATTCTATTTCAAGATACTAGTAACAAATAATTGGGAAATAAATATTTCTACCTTAAAAATGTCTCTAAAAATCTTTTATTTGGGATGGTTGTTGGTGTTTTAAAAGAAGGGTACTGTAGTAGTCTCTTTCTGCCTCACTGAGTTTTTCCCAGTATTAGATACTTGATGTGTAGATCCTGCCATCTTTTCTGGGGCACAGTTCTAGGTATTTGCTTGATGTTACTGAACATTTATTTTCCAATTATTTGTTACTAGTATATTGAAATATAATAAATTCTTTCTTACATTGGCCTTATACCCTGTGATTTCTAAAGTTATGCATTAGTCCTAGATGTTTTTGTTTTTTTGTTTGCTTGTTTGTTTTCTTGTTTGGTTTGGTTTGGTTTTGACAGGGTCTCCCTGTAGCCCTAGCTGGCCTTGAACTTGCTATGTAGACCAGGCTGGCCTCAGTCTCACAGGGATCTGCATGCCTTTGTGGGAAGCGAGACAGCCGAGCCAGCCAAAGATGGAGCCCTGGCTGGCTGCCAAACCTCGTGCTGTTTACTCCAACTCTTGGCTGATTGCCAAGGCTCGTGAATCCCGCTTGTTTACCCCAACTCTGAAGTATGGTGAGCCCCAAAACAGGTGCTGCCAGCCTGATGATCTTGCTACGTGGCTAATGAGCTGCACTCTGCCTGCCCGCTGGCCCTGATTGATACCGGCTGGGGGGAGGGCTGTAGGAAATGCTATATAAAGAGCTGAAGTGTGTGTAGGACAGGACACAGCATCATAAGGACACAGCATTATAGAGGGGACCAGCATCATGGAGAGCCAGCATCATAGTGAAGAGAATACGAGAGAATAAAGGAGAAAGAGAAACAGAAGCTTGAACCTCACCTTGGTGTCTGTGTCGTCTTTCCGGGACTCTGCTGGCAGAGTCCCGGCTCGCGACAAATGGTGGCCCGTATGGGGACCCTGATGCTCACGACAAATGGTGGCCCGTACGGGGAACCCTGACGATCGTGCCAAATGGAGGCACCGCTGGGATGCCTGATGCTCTGGCTTTGCCCCCTGAGTGATGAGACTAAACGTATGCACTACTGTGCCTGGCCTAGATGGGTTTTTTAATAGAGTTTGTATAATTTTCACACATGTAATCATTTCTGAACAGCTGCAGTTTTCACAGAAATCTCTACTACTTTTATTTCCTACTTCCTGTCTCATTGCACTGTTTTATTAATAAATGTGTTGGGAACAGATGCCCTGCCTCACTCCTGATCTTATGGGAAGAAGGTTTAATGTTACTTGTTTAAGAACGAAGCTGGCTGTAGGTTTCTCCTAGACCCTCATTGTCACAATGAGGAAGCATGTTTGTAGTTTGCTAAGAGTTTTTTTTTTTTTTCAGTAAAAAGTATAGAATTTCTCTTCACTTATGGACATCATCATTTTTTCTTACTTATTCTGTTAATATTGTGGATCATATTGATTTACTTTTTTAATGTTGAATGAACTTGGTATTCATATTATAAATTCAATTTGAGATCATGGTGTATAGTCAGTCCTCTCTACACTGCTGGGTTTGCTTTGTTGATATTCACAAATAGTTTCACATCTACGTTCATGGGAGACATTGCTCCATCGTTCTCAAGTATTGTGTGTTCTGATGACCTCGTAGAATAGATTTAGAAGTTTCTGTGATGCTCTGTTTATAAAAAGAATGAGGATTAGTGGTGTTTCTTATATTTTTGGTAGAATTTGTTGATAAAGCTATGTAAGTCTGAAGTATCCTCAGGAATTGAACTTATTATTATTATTATTTCTATTGTTCTGAGAGAGGGTCTTGCTGTATGGCCAAACTTCCTTGAACTGATCATTCTTTTACTTTAGCCTTCTGAGCATTGTGATTATACATGCAGACAACCACACCTGGTTTATTTTTAATTAGACATAAGACTATTTAATTTGCAAGAATCGTCTTGTATCTGTTTTGATAAATTCTATATTTCAAAAATATATTTCATCTGAGTTGTC